TACGAACCTTGCCGTCTGGGTTAAAAAGTCCCCGACAAATTACGAACCTTGCCGTCTGGGTTAAAAAGTCCCCCACACCAACATTTGCCACATTTCCTCTGACCTCTTACTGAGCACAGCCACGACCACCTTGCTCCATACCCAGGCCAGAGCACAGCAGTGCCACCATGTGACAGCCATGGCAGACCTTGTGGTCATGAAATGGGTCCCTCATTATTGCTGGGTTCCACAGTTTCCCAGTCATGTGAGGTGATGCCCAGTAAGATGGAGAAGCTTGGCCTCAGGAATCTTTCATGTTCTCAAGGGGAAAAGCACAAAAGAGCTGAATTCAAGTAACAGAGCCTCTTTTAGGTGGGTACAAAAGTAGCTACTTTTGCAGGGGAGACGGGTCTGTATGTATCTTTGTTTTACTTTTTGGAGGTCCAAAGATCCAGGAATTTCTGGAACAATGGGAATTGGACAAGGAGTGGCTACTGGGTAAGTTATTGCATACCAGTGAGGCTCAGAGCATAACTGAGAGGGGAATTCTGTGCCTTAACAATGCATTTCCCATAATTTGCACTACACTGATGGCAAGCTGCAGATGAAGACTGAGAAGGTGTGCTTATGAGTTATTGCTGCTTGTATGTTCCTCAATGTGGCCTGCCTTTGGAACATCTAAGCCCAAGTCAGCTGGCCCGTGCCATGCGGGGCTTAGGCTGTTTCACTTGTGTGTGTAGATATCTGGGCTCAGGCTGGAACCAGGGCTATAGGACCCTGTGAGGTGGGAGGGTCCCAGAGCTTGGGCTCCAGCACGAACCCCAGAAGTCTACACAGCAGAGTAGAAACAGCCCCACCGCAACCTGAACCATAGGCACCGACTCTGTGAGTGCTCCAGGGCTGGAGCACCCACAGAGACAAAATGGTGGGTGCTAAGCACCCACCAGCAGCCTCCCCATCAGCTCCTCCCCAAACCCCCAGCGCCTCCCGCCACCCGGCGGGCCCTGCTGATCAGCACCTCCCCCTCCCTTCCTGCACCTCCCGCCCACCGTAATCAGAGCTGTTTCGTGACATGCAGGAGGGAGGGGGGAGGAGCAAGGATGCGGCATGCTCAGGGGAGGGGGCGAGGCTAGGTGGGAAGAGGTGAAGCAGAGGCAGGAAGAGGTGGGGTCTGGGTGGTGTGCAGGCAAGACCTGGGGCGGAACTGGTGATCGAGCACCTCTCGGCACTTTGAAAAGTCGGCGCCTGTGGCCTGAGGCCCATAAGTCTGAGTCAGCCAGCTGTGGGTTTTTCTTTGCTGTAGACATACCCTAGTTGAATGAGGTGCTCATGTTGGAGGATGACAATGACTTCATGGCTATTGCTGAGGGCGGTGTTAATGAACACGCTGTATATTTAAACAGGCAAGGACATGAGTTCCAGGCTTGCATTGTGGAAACTATTCTTTTTGACTGTATTTAGTCTTTTGAGTGAGTGTCTTGACAAACCTGGAGGGACATTAGCTCACTGAACCCAACCACTATCATTTCTTGGTCCTGGGAGGAAATAGAAGAGAGAAGAGAAACGTTATGCCACGTACCAAACAATATAATGCAAATAAAACAGTTCTGCCATCCTTACTAATGTTGAATAATACATCTGAGACAAAAAGAGAGGATATAATGAAATCCACATCCTTACCCCCTCAAGCATCACAAGCCAAAAGCGATGGAGTTCATTGAAATAAAGGTTGGTCGTCCAATCCCAGAGTCAGTCCAGCAGGAGCGTAGGTAGGTAACAATATTAGTGTCATCACCATGCAGTTTAGTTTTTCTGAGGATGGGCCTAGAACCCTAGATCAACAATCATGATTGCTCATGTGCCTTCTGCTGGTGCAATATTTAATTTGATTGAGATCTTTACTTGATTGTGGCTTTTTCCTTATGGCTCGATTTCTGTATATGCTGAGGCTGTGAAGATATCAAATATTTGATCATGTTTTGTGCTGTGTGCATGCTGTATTTAAATACATTAAACTTTCTTATACCACTATGTAAGATGTAATTATAGTATCCTCATTGAATTGAAATATGCTGCATAAATTTTTGTGTTGTATCACATAATTTTGTTGGGACAAAATGCACAACTACTAGAATGTAGACACCCACGTAAATCCAGAGATCTTTCTGTCTAGCTCTGGATTTTTCAAACTGTCTACAGATCCAGAGGAAGAAGGAAGCCAGGGAGCCCTTGAGAAGAGGAAAGAAAGGGTAGTAGAGTGAGAGCCCAGGTGATTGGTTGGGAAGCAGTAGGTGAAGTAGTGGGGGAGGAAGGATGAGCTGTGAGAAACCCACCAAAGAGGAAGTGATGGAGGGGCAGGGGGGAGGCACACCATCTGCAGAGCAAGGAGAAAGAAGAGGGAGGGAAAGGAGAAACTTCAGGGAGAAGAGAGTGAAAGGGGGGGTAGGTGGTGGGCAAGAACCTACAATAGTATATAGAGAGGTGGGGATTGTCTGTGGGATGGGGGAACAGAGAATGACACTGGTAAGGTTTTATTTGGAAAGTGCTTGTTCTATTTTAATAGGTGTGATCTCTGGGCATTGATAGCCAGTTTCAGATCTTTGTTCTGAGGGTCATGTAGGGAATGTATCAGTCATTCTGAAAAGCTGATTGCTGTTGCAGAGAGCTGGGAAGAAGAGAGACAAAGTTTGCATTTCGCATTCATGTTAAAATTGTAAATAGACTACTAATTTACAAGACCCTAGATACCTAAAAATAAAGTTTGAAAGACAGTAATCAGGAGCAGGGGTTCTCAACCTTTTTCTTGCTGAGGCCCCCCTCAACACGCTATAAAAACGCCAGGGCCCAGTGCGGGGGAAGGGAGGGGGAAACTCGGGGCTCCAGGCCGGCAGAGGGACTCTTGGGCACAGGCATAATTTTACTTCTGTTTGGGGGAAGGGGACTTCAGCTGCAGGGCTCCATGGCCCCCTGAAAGGACTCATGGACCCCCAGGGGGCCACGGACCCCTGGTTGAGAACTACTGATCTAGTGTATATTGCAGCTTAAAAAATCCTGAGCTGCAGAAAGTCTGGAAATTCTCAGTTAAGTTACCAACTCTAAATTCATCTTTGCCTTTGTTATCTTTACTTATTCTCCACTTACTAATGGGCAAACCTCCACTACTTGCTATAAAAAGGATAGACAAACAACCCAAAGCACTTCTCTTGCATCCCCTGCGCACCTCATTCTTTGCACCTGAGATAACAAAAGGAAACTGCTTTTGGACTCAGGGAAAGGAGTCTTGACCTAACAGTTTGGTCAGTAATTTGCTGAAGCATGTGGTGAGAAAGTTTGTTTTGCAACTAAAATAGTGTTGTAAGTAGATATTAGTACATGTTTTAATTTTAATTTTTCTTGTAACCATTTCTGACTTTTATGCCTCATTACTTGAACTCACTTAAAATCTCTCTCTTTGTAGTTAATAAACTTGTTTTACTGTTGAATCTTATGCAGTGTGTTTAAGTTGAAATGTCTGGGTAGCTATTTAAGATAATATGTTGGGATGTTATTCCATTAAAGGTATAATGGACTTAATATATTTGTACTGTCCAGGAAAGGGCTGGGCAGTACAGGGCATACATTTCTGGGGAAGATACAGGACTGGTGGTGTGTTGGGGTCTCCCTGCAATATAACCAAAACCAGTGCTTAATTTGTAATGAAAGAGGTGCCGGGGCTCAAGCTCGAGGTGACAGGATGGTGGGACTGAAGCGTCACGCAAGCAGCCATGCAGTGCTCCACGGACATTCCTTTGGCAGCTGAGTGACGGGTGAGTGGAGGACTCAGACCCAGCACAAATTAAGCACTGACCAATACTGGTGAGAGCCCGGTGTAGCTAACAGGCTGCAGTTACATGCAGACACTCAAGGTGTGGCTTGCATGCTGGGAGACTGTTTGTGAGTGGCCCAGGTAGGAGCTGCTACGGCAAGGCATCATAAGGCACCCAAGGTTGCAGGGCAGGTATGACACAACCCCCACTAGTCTGGATTCTGCCACGGTATGTCACAACTGGACATAGTAAAATTGATTTCTGACCTATATCTTAAGTGTGGAGTCTCTGAAGAATACTGGTGAATGGGCTTGATTGGATTCCCTTGTTGAGTCCCTTGTGGACAGTAACAGATTTTATGTGGAGGGTTAATATTAGATACTGGAGTATCCAGCCTTTACAGAGAGGGCTGTTTTGTTGGTTTTACTTAAAACCCTAACTTGGTTATCAGTATTAGTCTTATAGGAAAAAGATAGGCACAATCTTTACTATGAAGAGATCCCAATCTCTCTGTTGTAAAACCGCTGTAATCCTGAAAGCCTGAGAAGCAATTAACCCATCTCCCTTTAGTCTTCTCTCTTTCCTGTTATTGTGGTGATTCATCCAGCTTTACAACTTCTAGTTCTCACGCAAACAGCAGCATGATTCTACATGAGCAATTCCCAGGTTGCATACGAGATTGCATAAGAGATCACTTTACCTTAGGTGGAAACTTAACAGCAGGGGGTTAGGTAGGTGAAAGAGTGTTATCATTCCACAAGGAGGCTGAGGGGCTGAACAAGCACAATTTGTTTCTCCCCCTTATCCCACTAGCAGTTTCTGTTTACTTTCTCCTCCCATTACTATTCATGCCAAAGAAAAGCGGAAGTTAAGTGTAATCCTCAACACTGGCTGAAATCAGTTACAGTTCATGATCAAGAGTTCACACGCACGCACGCACCCTGAGTTTGTAATTCAAGACTTCTCTTAGTTGTGATTTCCCTCATTGGGCAAGAGAGAGACAGGGTGAGGCAACAGATAAGCCAGTGAGTTCATATGTCAGAGTTCCTCATCAGCCTCTTCCTAGAGACATTGTTTAAGGGCAGAGTCTGGCAAAAGGTAAAGCAAACTCCAACCATGGCTATGGACAACTTTGTTAGGGAAATAGACAAAGCTTTTGATGCAGCTAAAGGGAAAAAACCTGAGGAGCTGCTGGTCACGTACAAGGGGGTGCTATACCCTAGTGGGATGTGTCGCCCTGAGACCTTCCAAGCATTGGACATCATGGAAGTTAGAAAAGATGATGTGTTCCTAGTTGCTTATCCTAAATGCGGTAAGTCTGGATTTTTTTGGTGCAAAATTGAAAGAAAAAGTGCTTAGATATTAAATATGTGTGATTATTTTCTAAGAATGCAGAAAAGCACTGAAATTCAAATGCTACATGCAGTAAATCCTCATTTGTCACAGGGAAGCACTGTGCTAGTGAGCCGTGTGTTTTCCTCTTTTATAATTTCAGATGTGTGTTTAATCTAGCCATGACAGACATGCTTCTGGCTGTAGTAAATTAAATACAAAGAATCATGCAAGATTATGGAGAGCTTAAATACACAAGTGTCAGGATATTTTAAGCTCTTCGATTCCTATAGCTGCTGTAATTCATCTTTTTTGTGCATAAATACCGCATTATACCTTCATATATATGGTGAAGATGAAGAGAATTCAGAGCCAGAAGAGAATCTGAACTGCCCCAAAACTTTGTTAATAACACACTAATGGCAGGCTTAGAGCTGTACACAGGTATAAAGAGGCACGGTCCCCACCACTAGTTTAGAACAGACAAGACAGTTCACACACAGGTCACGAAGGATGGGATTTTCAGAAGCAATCAGCGCTAGCCTAATTCTGCTCCCATTAAAGTCAATGGGTGTAAAGATAGGCCAATGCTAAGCACTTTTGAAAATCCCACTGTAAGAGATGGTATGAACTTGAGATGGGAATAGAATCCTACAAGGAAAGACATTATAGGAGATATATTTTGAAGAGGGCTCTGAAGGAAGAAAGGAGTTTACTTGATGCAGGAGAAAAGGAAGATTCTTCTAAGCAAACTGAAAAGGAATCTTGATTGGCTAATAGGTGATCTCCATTCAAGTTATATAGGAAATATAACCAGAGTATCTATAAAAAAATAAATTATACTGTTGGCCTTGCAGTATGTAGGCAGGAATGAGAAAGCACTTAAATTATAACTCCATTTACTAAATAAACTATTCTTGGAGCTGAAAGTTTTTTCTGGCAGAGCCATAGGCTGAGCAATTGCAGAGACAGTTCATAGGAGATCCAGGTAAAATCAGTTGAGAGATTTCCAATTTATTTATAGGGTTCTTATTCAGCCAAAATAACACAAATCAGGAATATTCATGGCGACATTCTCTTAATGTAGCTTAACAGTAAACTGTAAAGAAACACGAAAGGCCTCTCTGATACCTCCAGAGCGCACTGTCCTGATGTTTGTTAGCAAAACCCTGTCTCCCCTTCTTGTGAAAATAAATCAGCCCTCTTCTTTTTTATGAGTCTGAGCTTAATTAGGCTCCTGATTGCCTTGGCTGTGGGGGAGACTCCCAGCTGGGGTACCAAAACCCATGATGGGATATAACCCTCATGTTCCAACTTGTGGTCCTGCTTGGCAGAATCTCCCCCATCATGCACCATTAGGTTAAGGGTGCAATAGTACCACTTTTGGGGGATACATGCCATTCAGTACCCTTATCGAAGTTGTTCTCAGCCCAAGGCTGATGATTTTTTCAGAACACTTGGTAACAGGTTGGTGTCTGTTTGGCCCAGATCCACAAAGGAATGTAGATGCGCAAACTCCAGACATAGGCACCAAAGTCCTAGTTTTAGGCACCACTCCAATTTACAAATCCCCAGTTCAGCTGCTGCCTATCCTGTAGACAACTAAATCTACTCACCACCTAAATTTTTGCTGTAAAAGTCTCCTAGACACCTATGTTTCTTCCTCTGGGCAAATACACTGAAGGAGGCACCCAGATGCCTACCTCACACCTAAGCCCCATCACAATTTTCAAGCCAGAGGCAGATAGGCACTGTCCCAGCTATCTCACCTGTAGGGTCTGATCCAGTAGGTGTACTCAGAGGCAGACTAACTCTGCACAAAATGACTTTGGGGGGAGGAGGAGGGGGACAGATTATGTTTTCCTAAAAGATATGTTCTAGGAATTATCTGGGGGATGTTTATGGCCTGTGTTTTACAGGAGATCAGATTAGATGATCACAATGGTCCCTTCTGGCCTTGGAATCTATGAACCTTTAGCCTAGTCTTTAGGATACTCACCCGCGATGTGAGAGAGTCCCAGATGAATTTCCTCCTCTTCCTGATGAGAAGAAGGGACTTGAACTGGGATTTCCCATCACTCATGATAGTACCCTTGCAGGGATCATGTGATCGTTGGACAAAGCTCTTCCTCTCCCAGTAATACTCTTTTTTGCCACGGATAGCTACTCCTGAGCACAGCTCATGCTCTGCTCTTCCCTGCCAAACCAAAAGGAAGCATATGTGTAGTAGCTGAGCTGACTGGGGCAATAGAGAAAGAGCAGGTGGCAGTTTGAGGATGTTGCCGGGAAACCTCTTAATCAGTTATCTTCACTTCTCTGTTCTTCAGTCTTGCAATGAAGATGCCCTCCTCCTTCCCCATGAAGGAGAATTCTGTGTAGCAACAGGGTCTAAGCCGCAATTAGTACATCTACACTGCAATAAAAGACCCACTGCACCAAGTCTCAGAGCCCAAGTAAATTGATTCAGGCTTGCAGGACTTGGGACACGGAGCTAAAAATAGCAGTGTACATAGGTGCCGACTTCCCCTCTTTCCGTAGGATGCTCGACCCCCCCGTCTACCTCTGGCCCCGCCCCAACTCTGCCCCTTCCCCTGCACTCATTCCAACCTCTTCCCCAAATCCCTGCCCCGGCCCTGCTTCTTCCCCGCCTCCTCCCCTGAGTGTGCCACGTTCCTGGCAGAACGTGCAGAACAGCACCACAGCTGTTTGGCGGTGGCTGGGCGGGAAACACTGGGAGGTAGGTGGAGGAGCGGGGACGTGGCATACTCAGGGGAGGAGGAGGTGGAGCAGGGGGTGAGAGGGGAGCTTGGCTGTGGGTGGGTGCAGAGCACCCACTAATTTTTCCCCATGGGTGCTGCAGCGCTGGAGCACCCACGGAGAGGGCGCCTATGGTAGTATAGACGTTTGTGCTTGGGCTGGAGCCCAGGCTCAGATTTTCCCCCATTGTGGGGTTTCAGAGCTCAGGCTCCCCTGAACCCAGACGTCTACTCTGCTATTTTTAGCTCCACGAGCCTGACTCCGTTGACCTAGGCTGTGAGATTCAGTTGACCCAGGCTATGGGTGCCATATCCTTACAGTGTACGTAGCAGAAGCAGCAGCCTTAAAGCGCTTACAAGGGGTTGCCATTATCTGCACACAGGCAATATAAAGAAAGTACAGTAGTTCAGGGGATATATAACTTAACTTCTAATTGCCAAAGTACAGGATTTCATTCTCACCCCCAATGTTGCATTAAAGAGACCCTCTCAATGTAAAAATCATACTTCTGTCTGAAAATTATGTACCTACAACTGTTACACGTTATATGGAACACCTACAAGTTATATGGAGGACTAGTATAATGACTCTTTAGAAAGTGATGCTAGATATTTAACAGGCTACAGTTCTGAAATTCCTACTTGGCTCCTTCTAACAGTTATTTTATGTTTCAGGAACAAATTGGGTTCAACACATTTTAAATGACTTGACATCTGCAGTTTCAAACAATAAGGAGGAGGTACCACCAAGAGAGCATATTCAAATGCTGGAATTTGGAGTGCCAGAAAAATTTCAGGTCAGCATGGACTAATTCATGAAGCTTATTTTTAGCATATAGTATTTTTTTAAATGTCTATTTTAAAGTATTTCATATAAGTACAAAACACTTTACAGATAGGCTATACACTTCCACATCAAGTAATTTGAAGTTAATTCTCTCAATTACTTTTTGTATGTGGGACTATATTATAAAATATTAAAACACAGGCAAACAAATGTGATTTGAAATGAAATTGACTTTTGTGTACTAAAAGAACAGAAGTTAATTTTAACTCTAATCTGGACCTCGCACTGCTGTATTAGAATTTCAAAAGCTTAGTGTAAATTTTGAGTGCAATATTTTTAAAATGTTTTGAAAAGAAAAGGTTAATGAAATCATTAGCTGATTATTCCTGATTTCTATCTCTCCTAGTTTAAGGTGTGACTTTTCCAAGGTGAAGTTAAGCATATGCCTAAGGATCAAGGGAATGTGTGATTCAACAGTGTATATGGCTCTGTGTGTGTGTGTGAGAGTGAGTGAGTATAATGTTATCATTGCAAACCATGAGTAGTAACACCTGATGGACTGTTACTTTTCTTTAGGTGGTTTTATAAGTAATGCACAAGATTGGGAGTCAAGAGTTAGGAGATCTCTAATCACAGCTCTGGGTCTGGCTTCAGGCGAGACATTTAATCTCTCCTTTTCAGTTTCCTCATTTCTAAAATAGAGATATTACTTGTTTTTGTCACAGAGGTGCTGTGAGACTTAATTCATTAGCGTTTGAAAATATTTAAGAACCTCAGTTAAGACATCATATGGGCTGATAGCAATGGAGCAAAACCTGAGTAAAATCTGAGACAGTGTTGCAGGACTAAGGGTATGTCTACACTGGCAGAGTTACAGTGCCGGCAGTTACAGCGCCGCTCAGAGAGCGCTGAAGGGGAACCGCTGTTGCGTGTTCACACTGTCAGATACCTGTGTAATAGCATGTTCACGCCTACGACAAGGCATGGGAGGCAAACTGCCACTCCGGTGCTGCGCCCACGAGCTGCCGGTTCTACAAAGAACTGGATGTGATATTCGGTGGCGACCCCACCTCCACTGCGAAGGCCACTGTGGATATTTCGGTGGCTCGCATGCCAGTCAAGAGTGGACCAAGCCAGGAGGAGGAAATCTTGGACGAGGATGTGGACGGGGAGCGGGACCCAGAGGCAGAGGACGACTCAGAGGTCAGAGATACCAGCAGCCAGGAGCTCTTCTCTACCCCGGAGAAGACTAGCCAGTCACAGCTGTCGGAGCTTGGCAAAGCGCAAACAGGAGAAGAGGCCCCTGGTAAGTGGCTTTGATTTTGGAAATAGCTGAAGCGAGTTGTTGGGGGCAGGAGGGTGGCAGAAATCAGGCTTGTGTCTGTATGATGCACGTACCACCACATACCTAGTCTGAGCGGCGGAACCGGGTGTTGATTGACTCCCTCACTTCACGGGAATCTGCCTCAGAGATCTCCACAAAACTCTCATGGAGATATTGGGCAATCTGCTGCCACAGGTTCTTTGGCAGAGCTGCTTTGTTTCTTGCCCCATTAAGGGTAACTTTCCTGTGCCACTCTGCTGTCCTGTGCGAGGGAGGGGGGAGCATTGCTGCACACAGGCGAGCCGCATAAGAGCCAGGGTGGAAGCCGCAGACTTGGAGAAGACCCTCCCTTGATTCCCTGCTAACCCTCAGCAGCGAGATATCTTCCATAATGAACACAGCCTGTGGAAAATGTGGGGACAAGAATGATTATAAGCCCCTGCGGTGCTGGCTCTCGCCAAGAGCCACATCCCCAGTGTACAGTACGGTTCTTGAACACTGATTTCCCTTGCCCCTACAGTTATTCACCATTTTGGGGTCTTGTGGCTCATGTGTGCTTGCCTAGGGTCAGCCAGTTAGTGACAGGTATGCGAATAGCGGCTGGTGTTTTAAATCAGTGGTCTGTGTGTTGCAAACAATACTGCTTCTGTAAAATGTTGCATTTTGGCTTCACAGATATGACCTTGGGAGCCCAGCCTCCCTCTTTGTTATCGCCGGCTGAACGGGTGCGCAGAATTAGAAAGTGGCCACGAAGAACTGAAGAGGACTTTCTGTGTGAGGTCATGATGCACTCCGCGGCCGAAAAACAAGAATTGAAGGAATGGAGGGACAGCGAGAAGAGGGACTGAAAGGAGAACACGGAGCTCCAGAACGAAGCCACTAAGCAGCGCTTAAACATTATGGAGTGCCAAGCGGACGCGCTCTAGGACACTTTGACCCTGCATTGCAGAGTGTCCCGTCATGGCTCCTTTCTGTCATGCATCGTGAAATCTGTCCTACAACTGGAGTGCAACTGGGACTGGACAGCCGCCTCTCCCCAAATGCTGATGAGGTCCAGCATTGCTCCAAGCAGGAGATCACCTGGTGTGTGGAGCAGGCATGATCACCTGGAAAGATGCGCTGAGACCACTGCATGCGTCACCGAGCAAACAGGAAGGGGACTTTCAGAATTCCCAAGGAATTTAAGGGGTGGGGATGACGGTTGGTCACCTGAGGGCAGGGCAGTAGAGTTCAAACTGATGACCAAAGAGGTGAGAACAGGCATTGTGGGACACCTCCCGGAGGCCAATCGCAGTGCTGTAATTGACCAGGATGTCTACCCTGGCACTGCAGAACTGTACCCCTGGCGCAGAAAGCTGTACGCCTCTCATTGGGGTGGGTTTTTTTTGTTTTGTTTTACAGCACTGCAACTGCGCAGTTTCTGCGCACTAAGTGGCTTTGCAGTGTGTACACTGAGAGTTACACTGCAGAAAGCTGCTTTACTGCGCAGAAACTTGCCAGTGTAGACAAGGCCTAAGGGAAAATCCCTAAACAGGAGGAGCTGGTGCACAGCAGGAAAGCAGTGGCTACTACAAGATACCAGGGACTGGCCAATATAGCCTGTTGTTCTCCAGTTTACTACATGAGAAAATTCACTGCTCATGCTTATCTCTGCCATGATCTACCCTGGAACTCTTGTCTACAGTGCACAGGAGGGTGTGGAGTCCTTCTATGTTTGCGTGTGTGTTTTCTGCAGCAGCAACCACTGGTGCATGCTCTTTTTCTTTTGCTTTGGGCCTAAATATTGCCACGTAAAATGGCACAAAAGCTAGGGCTCTATAATAATAATGAATTAATAGCAAGAACAATGCAAACAGCTTTCTTTCTTTAACTCTCTGGCCTCCCTATGCTACCTGCTTTGGGATGATTTTGAAATCTGCTAAAAATGATACAGTTTTGCAGAAATTAGGCTTTAATAACAATGCCATCTAGATGACATCATGAAGGACGAGAAGAACCAAGAAGAGAGACTACAATTTAACAATTACCAATAAAAATTATTTCCATGCAAAATAGATGTTTAGAGCAAATGTATACATATTGTGAATTGTCAGCATATTTGAGGTAGAAATGTTGTGGTTCCTTTTTTTCACATGTACTTTTTGTTTTGATTTAGAAAATAAAAAGTCTTCCTTCGCCACGTGTTTTTACCACACATCTCCATTATGATAATATTCCCAAGGCTGTTTTTGGGACTAAAGCAAAGGTAAGTGAGCATTTCAATAATGTTTGATATTATCCACTTTCTAAGCAACTCCCAGTTTTCCCCTAGCAGAAGTTCTCTATAGGATTGCCTGGAAAACAGGAATTCAGTTTCACAAAAAAATTTCAAGGTTTCAGCATTTGGTTTTGTTCGGCATTGGGATGTAACCAAGAACTTTTGATTTTTTTTGTGAAAAACCAGAGAGAGAAAGAGCAAGGAATTTAACCTGGGTCTCTGATGTTCCAGGTTAATGCCCTAACTGTTGGGATTTGGGCTATTCTGGGATATGTGTGTATGTATGCCTCTTTCTCTGCCATTTTAACCAGAAATTAATAAGTTTCTGGGAAAACTTTTGGCCAGTCAGCATTTTCTGGTGAAAAAACATTTCACTGAAAAATTCCTGACCAACTCTAGTTCTCTGCTTAGCTTTTTCAGATCCCACAATCTGACATCTTTCACTATAACAGTGGAATTCAGTTTTTACTGGTGGTTGTTTGTAATTCACACAAAGAGGTCGAATCTTAGATCCCAGCCCTGCAAGGTGATCTGTATGGGATAGCCCTTATTGCTCCATGGAGTCCCCATGAAGCATAGGGGCTCCAGGCACGTGTAAGGTCTCCCCACACAAATCAATTTGCAGGATTGGGGCCTCACTTTCCAAATGTCAGTTCCTGTAAGAGCTGATATGTTTTTAATGCAGGACCCTTGAGATCAAAGGTTATCTTAAAATACCAAAGACTCATTTGCCTTTGCTGTTTTAAAAGGTACTGGTGGTATTTCGAAATCCAAAAGATGCAGCTGTATCCTATTACCACTTCTACAACAAAAATCCTGGGCTTCCAAATGTCAGCTCGTGGGATGAGTTCTTTCAGAAGTTCATGAGTGGAGAAGGTACAGTTATTAGATCTTGGCATGTATAAACACTCTAGTACAATGTTCTCAACTCTTTGGTCTGCAGTCCAAAAAGGGAATCTGTGATCCTCATGTTAAAATTAATCCCAAATGGATTCAAACTAATGATTTGGGTTGGGGAGGCAGGGGACCTGGTGTTGAGGAGTTGAAGGTGCTTCTCTCTTCTTCAACCCTGAGCAATGCTCCGCACTGGGAGTATTGCTGTGGAGACATTCAAATGGTCAGGATGGCGCAGTATACAGGGATTCTACTTCATCCCCAGCACACAAAGGGTAAACTCCAGCTTTCCTTTTCTTTCTGCAAGGCATTATCCTTCTTGTGATTTTGCATCTTAACAACTGGATTTATGAGTGAGCCTCTCCCCCTTTGTTCTCAGATCCTTTTTTCTCTTGCTTTCATTTGCATCTCAGAGCAGGGGTACCCATTTTTGATCAACTCAAAATAAAGGTTTGGGGTAAAAATTTTAACAGTATAATGACTTAGTAGTCTAAGCCTCATTGACTTTCAGTGAGACTTAATCACCTAAAGGCCATATTTTTAAAGGCATATAAGTGTCTAAAGATGTAGATAGATGCCTAGTGAGATTTCAAAAAGCATCTAGGTACCTAATTCCCAGAGACTTCAAGCACTTTTGAAAATTCCACCAGGCACCTATCTGCCCATAATATCAATCACTTTTGAAAATGGGATTTAGGTTTTCTAAGTCTCTTAGGCACTTTTGAAAATTTGGCCCTTTATTTATAATTGAGCAGAGGTTTGAGCTACAACTGAACTAGATAAACCCCTTTCTGTAAACTGAAGAACCCTGCATTTCAAGTGAAGTTCTCTTGTAAAGGGGAAAAAGAGACTGTAAAAATGGCATAGTGGATTTTGTGCACATCTCTTTATTATTTCCAGATCAGAAGTGGTAGGCTTATAAAATAAACAAAGTTTTATGTAACTGCCAGCTCCTCAAATTCCATCTGGGATTTGTGAATCAAATTGGGCTCTTTCCTTCTTCAACACTGCCACCGCGATAAGGACTCTGCAGGCCAAACTGCACTCTTAGTAACATCTGTACAACCCCACTGGCCTGTCATTCCAATTTGGCAAGGTATTTTGATGATGATGATGCACAAGATGGAATAGATTTCAGCTTGTACTCTCCTAACTGTGCTGATTTGGCAGAGTTAAAAGGAGTGAAAAGCATTAAAGATGCTTTTTATTTCCTAAAGTAAGCAGAGAGGGCACTATATACACTCAGGGAAACAAGACCTGTTTAGTAAGAGGGTGCCTTGTTTTACATACTCATTTTGCAGAGAACTGCATTTTAGCAAAATATTGAGCTAACCCCTATGTCATACTAGCTGCTCAGACACTGAGATGCATTTCAGGGATTTTGAGAAATTGCTGACCGTACAATACAGTGTCTATGTACAATATAAGCGAAGTCTCTTTATTTCATCCCTTTTTGTGCAGTTCTGTCAGGAAAAGGCCAAAAATCAGCTGGATCTGTCCAGCTGAGAAATCCCCTGATGTAGGCGAGCTCTCCATGGACGCAAAGTGGCATACTTGATTCTTGTACTATTCCGCCGCTATAACCGGTACAGGCGTGGTGTCAAAAGACTAACCTTAACTGATGAATAGTTCCTTGGGGACTTTACCACTTAGCATAGGTTAGAGTAGCCTCTAGGCTGCTTGAAGTTACCTTGGAGCCAGGTCTGAGCTGGGCAGGGAATCAGGGAACCATAACCATAAACTGCCTGACAGCCCCTGAGCAAAAGGAGGAAATTTAATACAGCAAAGAATCTGTGCCATATTCTAATAAACAATTATTGAAAAATAAAGTATACTTGTAGAAACTAATTGTTAATATTTTGTAAGGGCCTACCTCTGCAAACACTCAGGCATGTGAGTAAAATTTACTCACATTAATAATCCCACTAAAGTAAAGAAAATTATTCATATGGTGAGTGTTTGCAGGACCTTAAATCTGTGTTGTTGGGGTTATTTTTTAACTTTGCCATTTCATAAGTGCAATGTTAGCCTGGTTATGTGATGGATTGAATATACACATGGCTGTGTTACTGATTACTACAAAATGTATTCAAGAATCAATTTATTGTAAACAGATTTTTTTTAAACTTATCATGTAGAAACTGTATAGCTTGATTATGAAAAAATAGTTGGAAGAAGAAAGTGAAAAGTCAAGTCTGAAGTGAATGACTTCCAAAATAACATCTGTCCAAAAAAAAAGAAGAACTAAGTACAGAGAAGGACTAAGAACAGAACTGAAGGATTAGAAGATCTAAGCTCTCCAGGACTTTATATTGAAGTTAGCCTGGACATTTCATCTTGGGACCATTTAAATATACTTTAAATCAGGGGTCTCAAAGTCCTGGCCCGCGGGCCATCTGCGGCCCGAGAACTTCCCCAGTGTGGCCCGCGGGGCTCCAGCAATTTTGGGGCTGGGTCTCTCCCTTGGCCCCGCCTGCTGCCCCTGGGCACTCCCCCCCCCCCCCACGTGTCCTCTGGGCGATTTAAAATGGCCCGGGGCACCGGCCACCACCGACAGCACAGCGGAGCTGAGCAGCTTCCTGCGCTCGCTCCACGTGGCTGCCAGCCCCTCCCTGCGGCCCTGGGGCGGGGCTGTGCCGCCGCGCGCTGCCCCCACCCCGAGCGCCCCTGCAGCCAATTGGAAGCTGCGGGGGTGGTGCCTGGGGGCAGCAGCGTGCGGAGGCCCCCTGGCCTGCCCCACCTTGGAGCCCCAGGTAAGCGCCGCACCTCCCGACCCCCTCCCAGAGCCTGCACCCCCTCCCCACACCCCCACCCTCCCCCAAACACCCTCCCAGAGCCCGCACCCGCTCCCCACACACCCCCTCCCCCAAACTCCCTCCCAGAGTCTGCACCCCCTTCCGACACACCCTCTCCTCTCCCCAAACTCCCTCCCAGTGCCTACACCCCCTCCTGCCCCCAAACTCCCTCCCAGTGCCTGCACCCCTCCTGCCTCCACCCTCCCAGAGCCTGCAACCCCACCCCCTCCTCCTGCACCCCCATTCCCTGCCCCAGCCCAGAGCCTGCACCCAGCACCCAAACTCCATTCCAGAGCCTACACCCCAGACCCCCTCCCCCACCCAAACTTCCTCCCAGAGCCCAACCCCACACACCTTCTGCACCCAAACTCCCTCCCAGAGCCTGCTCCCTGCACCCCAATCCCCTACCCCCAGACCTCCTCCCCCACCCAAACTCCCTCCCAGAGCCTTAGGTAGGTGGGCGGTGGAGTTGGGGTGGGCGGGTTCTGGGCAGCATGAGCGACATTATTGGCCCGCTGGGAGGATTTGAGGACTGGCACTGACCCTGAGGTAAATTGAGTTTGAGACCCCTGCTTTAAATTATCTTCTGTTTTTTGACCTGTCTGTCTTAACTTCATTTTAGTCTGCTGGAGCTCATATTTTGACCATGCTCTTGCCTGGAACGAACACATGGATGAAGAGAATATCATGATCATCACATATGAAGAAATAAAAGAGGTAAATTTGTGTAGAAATTTAAAAATGGAAACGACTTATTAGGTCATGTACTCAGTTCTGATACAGAATTGCTCCCTTCAGTATATTCTCAAGGATCTTGTCTCATCCAGTTTTCATTTTGTTCCAGGCAAAACCTTTTTGTTCAGAGAACAGATATATGATGTTGCAGCCTGTTCTCCCACTGGCTACTAGCCCTTCTATCTGCAGCCCAATTCCCTCCTCAAGCACGAAAGCCTTGATCCTGCAACATTAGCATGTGCATGAGAGTGGTCCCATTGACTTCAGTGAGATTGTTCACATGCTTAAAGTTAAGCATGTCCATGTTTGCAGTTTGAGGATCTTAAACTGTAAATTCTCTGGGTTAAATAATGCCAGTGCTTATATAGAACAATGCTAATTGATGTGGCTAGATAAATGTTATCAGTAGTAATTAATACTAAAAGAAAGAGATCCATGCAGAAGATTGAGAGCATTCACCTAACACATTGCCATTTGGGCAAGGGAGGCACATTCCAAAATCTTATCAAAAGTAACCACCATTCCTGCAACCTCCTGCTGCTGAACTTAATATATTCCTCTAATGTTCTGCCCTTTGTATAGATGAGAATAGTATCAACTACATTCATTTGACAAGATAGAGGGGAAATGTCTGACATGTTTGCTTTAACTCATACATAACTCTATCACATTCTTGTTTTTCAGAACTTACTTGGAAGAGTGAAACAAATAGCTGAATTTTTGGGGTTCTCTCTGCCTGAGGAGAAGATTCAGTCTATTGCAGAGAATGCCACATTCGAATCAATGAGCAATAAATCCCAAGAAACACATGGCAAATTTGGTTCCATCATTTTCAGAAAAGGTACATTTATACAGAGTGATGATAGTCATAGAGTTTAGAGCAGATATCCAAATTGGTCATGGGAGCTAATTAACATTTAAATGGCTTGATAAGATACATGACTGTTGTGACCTTTTCAGGAGCTCCCAAATGCAGAATTAATGTGTTTAATTCATAGCTGATAATGAATTTTCTTCTCTTGAAAGTGGACATCCCTAGCTAGATGATCACTCAGGCACTGAATGCTGTTCTTTCAAAACGTTAGCTCTGTGGAAAATCCCTTGGTTGTAAAAGGTGCATGCATATATACCTGCAAAATGTAGTGCAAAGGGTTTTCTTTAACCTAAAATTTTAAGAACACCATCCACATCCATAAAGATTTCAAGCCTCATATTGATTTGAAATGTGGCAATAAGTTCAGTCATTCCAACTGTTTGTGTCAGCATTTCATTGTTATCTATCTCTACCTGACATGTGATCTTATACTTCCAGGAATAGTTATTAGTTTATTTCATTGTTCTTTTGCAGGTGCTGTTGGAGATTGGAAGAATCTGTTCACTGAGGCTCAAAGCCAAGAAATGGATGCCAAATTTGAAGAATGTTTAGCAGGAACAAAACTGGGAGCCAGGCTAAAATATGATAAATACTGCAAATACTAAATCTTTGACTATCAGAATAACATTAGCATTTACTCAGAGACATCATCTATTTTTCTACCTTTTGTTTGAGAATGCAGAGATTAAAATAATTAGACTTTCACGCAAGGATTTGCACACAAAAAAACAAAAAACAACCAAACCTGAGATACAATAAATAAGGCTAGTGGTCCAAATACTGCCCATCTATGACTTATTTAGACTTAGAATCTCCTGTGCATAGTGGCACATGAGGTAACCCACTTTTCCTACTGCTGCCTGTCCAGAGCAAGATGTTTGACCCAATTGTAAATTGTCTCCATGATGGCAACAACTTTTGCAATTGTCCTGTGATAGATAATTTTTTATCCTTCATGCCTTCTCTTCCTTCCAGGTGGAATCCAATATAAGGCTATGGCTACACTACGCAGCTTTTAACGACACAGCTGTGCTGCTAAAAGGCGCGCAGTGTAGCTGCTGTTTGTCGGCAGGAGAGAGCTCTCCTGCTGACAAAAAAAATTCCACCCCCAACGAGCGGCAGCAGCTTTGTCGGTAGGAGAGCGCTCCTGCCGACAAAGCGCTGTTCACACCGGCACTTTTAGTTGGTAAAACTTTTGTCGTTCGGGGGGGTGTGTGTTTTTTTTAACACCCCTGAACGACAAAAATTTTGCCAATGAAGTTCCAGTGTAGACACAGCTAAGATATACCTTGTGCTTCTGCCTTGAGGTAGCCTGATGACATTGCCAAACCACCATAGTCATCTATGTTTAACTGAGTCCACAGTCTGTTGACTTGTGCCGTACAACACTTACATTGCAGAGATTGTGTAACCAATGAGTTTCCAAAATTCTTCTCAAACAAAGCTGGTGAAATGCATTCATCTTTCTGTTTGTATACTTCCAACATCTGCCACATTTCTGACGCGTACAGTAGTGTCGGAAGGGTACAATCTCATTTCAGTATGTAGATGTATCTTCTTACTTTTCCAGGTGTTTGACAAATGAGAAAATGTTCCACTTGCTTTGCCAATTCTTTCTTTCTTTCAGTTCTTTAGTAAGCTAGCCATTAGAAGATATTGTACTTCCAAGATAAACAGTCATCAACTCTTTTGTATTTTTCTCCATCAATTGCACATCTGCCATTGTGGACAGTATTCTTTCCTATCTACATAATCTTGGACTTCTGCATACAGATACCAAGTCTCACTTAGGCAGCTTCTGCTTTTATGCTCATAACAAATCTTTTCATTCCATCCATGCTGGTATCCAGGATGACTGTCATCTGTTAAATCTAGGTTTTCCAGCTTATCTCTTGCTCAATGAACAGCAATGTCCTCAGCAACAACCATCACTCTTCTCATCACAAAAAGGAAGTTCAGAAGAGAAGTGGGGATAGTTTGCAACCTTGCATTGCACCAATAATAATCTTAAACCATTTTATTTCTTTGCTAATTTGATAAAAACTTTGTAGGTCAAGTCTGCAGACAGCACCAGGACAGACAGTAATCTATTCTGGAATGTCTCAGGATCTTCCAAAGGGCTTCTCTGTGGACACTATCAAGTCCTTTCATAAAATCAATGCAATTTAAAACTGTTTTCTGCTGTTATTCTAAGCCTTTCTCAATAAGTCTTCTCAAGGTGAAAAATCTGATTTGAACATAGCTTCTTATTGAAATCTAGCCTGTTCTTCCCTGAATACTTTTTCAACAACCATTTCATCCTATTCAAAATGATAATGCAAAACACTTTTTCAGGTACAGATAGGAGTGTCACTCTTCTCCAGTTATCACAAATAAACTGGTTCCACTTTTCAGGGATTATACAGATAACGCCTCTTCGCCAATCTTTAGACTAGATCTCCTTTTCCCAAACCATTCTGTACAACCTTCACATGTAATTCAAATCACTTTCTTTTCAGCTTTTAACATTTCAGCATCTATTTTATGATAGCCTGGTGCTTTACCACTCTTCAGTTGGTTTATGGCCTCAGTTATTTCTTCAAAGATGATTATTTCTAGTGATATAGGTAAATCCACTATTTCTTCACATCTATTGGCTGGCTGAACACAAATTAGAAATGTTCCATCCACCAGGCTCCTTGTCATTCCTCTGTGGTTTAAAATCCTACCATCTCATGTCTTCACAATGCCACAGTGGTTTGAGAATTGTGATGTCAGTCATTTAGATGCTAGAAAAAGTTTTCTGTACACCTCCTTAGCTTGTCTTGCTTTGTTTTCCAGCCATTCTCTTTTCCCTTCCAACTGATATTTTAACATTTTTGTGTTTGACCACATATTTTTGTTGTAGAACAACTCTTTTGCTACTGTCTCGTTCCTGTTGAATTCTCTTCTTTAATTCTTTCCTCTCCAACAAGTCTCCATGTATTTGGTTGGAGCCACTTTGCTTTTTTAGACCTTCTCATTCCCACTATAATCCTGGTTGCAATCCACATGCACTTCTTTGTAAAGCTGCCATTGTTCTTCTGTCATTGGTCAGTGTATGTAACTCTTCGAATCTGTTGTTCATCTGCAGCTTGAAATGCTCCTTCACTGCTGGATGTGCTAACTTTCTAGTATCATACATACCCTCTGCCTTGCCTGGTGCTGCCTTCTTTATTTTTATTTGGATCATCCCAATAACAAGATGGCGTCACTTCCAACATCAGCACTCTTATACTGTTGGAAGGTAGGGTGTGATCTTTTCCAGCTCCAAATAATGGCAACATAGTCTAGCTGAGGGGAAGTCGATTATTTTTTGTCAAGGTATAATCAAGATCTGGACTCTAGAGAAAATAACAAAAATAATAACAAGTAAATAAAAAGATTTCGGGGTCTGTTCAAAAGCATCTGGTGGTCCAGATTTGGCCCGCGGTCCGCCTGTTGACTACTCTTGTCTAGCTATTTCTGGGTGAAGCCATCATTTGATCTCCATGTCAGTTTTGTCTTTCCTTTGGGGCAACATTATTTCCACACATCTATATGGGTGTAAGAGGTATTTGGCTGAATATGCAGAACCCATGAATGGTATGCTAGAGTGCCTATGACTATTTCAGTTTAATTTTTTTCATAATCTGTTATTAATTCAGGTTGATTCCTGCTCCAGATCCAAATTTTCAGAAAGTCCAAGGTTCTTGAGCATCCTGGGGTCTTGCTTTGGACTCATTTCTCATCTTTAGTCGTTAATTTGGTCATCTGTGTATCCTCTATTCTTTGAGGCTATCAAGGCTGTATCCCCACTTTGAACTTTAGGGTACAAATGTAGGGGCCTGCATGAAAACTTCTAAGCT